GTATCTAATACCGCAGTTCAAAATATATGAACTTCATATATTTCATTGTATCTGATTTATCACTTTCACGGGTTTATTACGAATCAACTTAACGGCCTGCTCCCAGTTGGCTTGTTAGCTCAATTGGTAGAGCGCTGCACTAGTATCGCAGAGGTCAGTGGTTCGAATCCCGTACAGGCCTGATTTTTTTTCAGGTCTGATTTTCGCTATTGCTTAAATAGGGCTATCTACTGCGAGGATCGTGCACCATATGTAAGATAAGGATTGGAAGTGACATCTTCAGAAATGAGTTTTCTTTTCTAAACACGACCTTAATTTAGATTTATACCAAGGATCTCAAAGTTAATGCCTAGTATTTCGATTTAAAAATTGGACAATAAACAGTTAAGGAGCTTCCAGACCGTACGCAATCTTTTGCTATCTTTTTGCGCCCTCAAGACATACTGTAATTGTTTTGACTTATTGAATGTATTTATTGGTCAGTCAGTCGGTTCAGCGGGATTAGATTCTGGGTCTAAAAAACCTTTCAAAGACATGTCACAAAGAAATGTTGAGCGCTTCACAACCTTTGCGCTTTCTCGTGAGTTGTCAACTTACATGATCTGAAACTCGGCAATTCGGTCTGGTCCTTTCCAAGTTTGGAAAAGCTGACTCTCAAAACACTCATGTTCTCCAATATCCTGTTCAACCTACCTCAATGAAAACAATAAAAAGCTCCTCAACTGAGACAGGCATCGCAGCATGCAAAGTTTATTTCATGATCAATTAGTAATTAATTCGCAATCATCGTCTTTGAACCATAGCTATGAGAAAAGAATGCCAGTTAGTATTAAACACAGTGCAACGATGAAATGATGTTACGTATATACGTATGAAATAAACATTAAAAGCGTTTGGTCCGATCTAGTTAAGAAGCTTCTTAGATAAAAACTTGAATGAATTGGCAAAAACTAAAACTGAAACCTAGTTCCAAATACTCAAGCAAATGAATTCATTTGTTTCTGCTTCCCTACCAGACACTAATACTGCTCGAAATATCTCGGTTAAATCACTTAGAGAATATAATTATACACGTAAGTCTCTGTTAATGACGAAAGAAAACCTCTCTAACAATCCTTGTTGCTCTTGTCCACAGTCTGAGAAGTGCCGGAAAACTCTTGGGAAATGCCACGCTTCGAGCTTACAGGGCCTGTAAACCCAAAAATACTTGTTTTTCTTATAATGTGAAAGTGGCAAAGAAAACGAATTTGCAATTTTTTTTGTCCAATTCGCCTTATTTTAGGAGAAAATCGGCATTCAGGAAACTGAAATTCCACTTCCGGGAGAACAATAGTGAGAGGTCGTAAACCACGCTGAACCGAAACCCATGCGACTGGAAAGAAGATACAATCTTTCGTAAGAGTCTTTGGGCTCAGCAAATACAAGGAAATAACTGAACTGAGATCGTCGTATTTCTGAGGAGAGCATGAATCACACCCAACTACAACTAAATTAAATCATAAGCATACTCTTCATACTAAAACGGCTACACGAGTTTCGTTACAGTTCGTAAAGCTCTTCTCTTAAGTTAGGAAGATTGAAGACCCCTTTGGGTGTATGAAATGCAAAAGCTACATTTTCCCACCTACGGTATCTGGGAAAGGGTTGCCAATGAGCTCGAAGACGTACAATCTCTGTAGCGGTTGCTTGAGGCCTCCAAACCCAGTTGCCATCATCGTCANATCCTCTTCTTTATAGCTGGCGCATGCTTATCAATACATTTTTTCAGAATGGCTTTCAAAAAAGACCATGCTTCATTAACACAGGAGGATTTAAAGACAGGTGTGAGACTATTGGACCGTAAATCATTGCAAAAGGATATAGGATCATAATTAGCATAGTTTCGACAGGTGATGGTTCTTGGCTGGAATTTATGGTTATGCAGCTTCCGGACACAACCAATCATATCATGGTCACTTAAGCCGGCGGGAATGGTTTTAACACTATAAACATTCTGAGGGCGATTTGTGTAAATCACATCTAGCAGTGTTTTTGAATCTTGCGTTACCCTCGTGGGATCCTTGATTAGCTGTTTAAGGCCAAAAGACAATAGCATTGCCTTCAGTTCTTTGTTGTCTGAGCTTACCAAATAATTGCAGTTGATATCGCCTGTCAAAATGCATTCTTTGTTTTCAGATGATACAGCAGAAAGCATCGACTCCAGTTTATTTTCAAAATCTGCACAAAGATGCTTTGAAGAACTCGGGGGGCGATAAATAAAACCAATAAGGATACCCTTAGATTTTGGAAATAGAATTTCTATCCAGATACATTCGATCCCATCGCGTTCCAGGTCTAGTCTTCTATGAAAGGGGACAGAAGAGGAGATATAAACTCCCACACCTCCACCTTTGCCTGTTTTCCTCGGTCTATTAATGAACGTATAGCCATCCAGTTGAACTTGAGCCTCTTCACTGTCCGATAGATGAGTCTCACTGAGGGATATGATGTCTATATGCTTGGAATCATCGATCATTTGGCATAGACTATCCTTATTCGCCACGAGGCCTCTGATATTTTGATGAATAATTTTAAGCCCATTTTTCGTTGACAAATCCCGAAGATCAGACAGGATGTCATGTGAACTAGAGGAGCCAACAGGACCAGGTTGAAGTTCAACATCATTTGCGAGACGAATAAGTAGTAAGGAAAGAGAGGAATTAATCGTAAAACGGCATCCAAGGAGTAGAAGTCTTGAATTCGGCAGCTGGAGATTCTTTGCATGTTGCGAGCTCGGTGACCGATGGTTAAAATGTTGAATTTTCACTGTCGTCAGACCGGGAGAAATGAAGAGAAGAGTATCACCAGATAAATCGAGGTCAGGATTAGTCTTGGGAAGGAGTGCACCAGAGAAACAAACGTAGAAATAAAGCAGAATGATCCAGTATCTAAGAGCTCTAAAAACGTGACCGTCCGCCATATTGTCATGAATAAACTCAAATATGAACCAGGCTGAACCGAAATATAAACCACGCTGAACCGAAACCCATGCGACTGGAAAGAAGATACAATCTTTCGTAAGAGTCTTTGGGCTCAGCAAATACAAGGAAATAACTGAACTGAGATCGTCGTATTTCTGAGGAGAGCATGAATCACACCCAACTACAACTAAATTAAATCATAAGCATACTCTTCATACTAAAACGGCTACACGAGTTTCGTTACAGTTCGTAAAGCTCTTCTCTTAAGTTAGGAAGATTGAAGACCCCTTTGGGTGTATGAAATGCAAAAGCTACATTTTCCCACCTACGGTATCTGGGAAAGGGTTGCCAATGAGCTCGAAGACGTACAATCTCTGTAGCGGTTGCTTGAGGCCTCCAAACCCAGTTGCCATCATCGTCATGCGTTACTACCGCCTCGTTGTTGCCATCAAATGGTACAGGTACATCAGGGTAATCCTCAAATTGCTCATCTGAATCGCTACAAACAAGAACAGCGTGCATGATCTCTTGCTTGTAAAGGTATGTTCCTAATATTTTGAACTGGATTTTGCCGTTTTCCTCGTTAATCTCAAGGTAGTTTTCATAACATTGACACAACGTGTCAATACTATACCGGAAAGACAAACTTCCGTACCGCAGTGGATTTGGCGTGAAAGCGTTAGATGAAGCGAATTGATTCTGTAAGACGTCTATATTATCCAAATATCCAAAAAAAGGTTCTATGGCTGCACGGAGAGTATGACTCACTTGGTTTTTAACGTCCACCGGAAACTTTGGACTCCACCACAACAACTGTGCTCCGATAGCACTTCCGTGTTCGTCTTCGTTGATTTTCTTCATTCCTCCAACGAAGCCCCCATTACTAATGATCTCCCCTGCACTTACTGGTGAAGTGAAGTGGGCTAGAGTGAATAGAGGGACATTTGTCCCACGCTGTTTTGCTTCTTGTAGGTTTTGCCATAGTTGTGGACCATA